AGTGGCATTTTGGTTCTCCTTCCATACACAGAGCCTTTGGCCACCACATCGCTCGCTGCAGCGCCTCGATCCAAAGCAATGTGCACTTACACTGGGAGGGTCGAGTCTCAGGGGTGTCTCTGTCATGTTGATGCTACAGAAGATAAAAACAAGGCAGAGTCGGGGTGCATCGGGTGCAGCCCTCCTCCAGTTTTCCAAATGCTGCTCAGACCCTTTCTTGGTCCAGAATTTGTCTCACCCACATAAAGATACAAGGATTTTGAAAATAGGGCAACTTTTCTACAACTCTCTCATCACTTCAGACATGCACTTGGTCTGAGGCTGGGGCTGGGAGAAGGCAGGAAAGCTCAGGCAGCCCTTTACATCTCTACCACGTCTACATCGCACGCCCCGATAGCTACCAGCAGCCCTATCCTGTGGGGCTGCTGGGAGCATCCCCAGGCAGAGCCCCCTCCCTGCCTGCAGCGACCGCAAAGCTCAGCTCTACCTGTCGAGAGTCAGAGAGGTTCGCAGTTCACCATCGGAGACCGATGGGATGACGTTCAGAACGATGTCCTGAAATTGGAACAATGGAAGAAATGAGATTATTTCCCTGCATAGCTCCCAAGACTGAAAAGAAAACCCAGAGTATTTGTAAATAACCCATTCCAAGAAAAAAAACCTGTCTTTGCCTAGAAATTACATTTTTTTGACGGATGGCATCATGTATCTCTCTCCCCAGGGTTCACACTTCCTGTCTTTATTTTTAATTATTCCTTAAACATTTCACTTGCACTTGGTTACGAGCGTTTAAAAGGACTGGGCACCACTGCTTTTAAGATGTACTGAATTCAGAAGTACAAGTACTGCACAGCTAAGGGCAGGACAAGCTGAGGGGATGCCAGAGAACAGCCAGACTCATCCCTCGCCCTGTTTCGGAGGTTTCGTTCCCTGGGAGCACACTCACCGTGTCGAGGGAGAAGAGGAGCTTCTGGGAGGACTGCAGGGCGGGACTGAAGACATCGATGGAGGCTTTGAGGGTGGCAGTGGCTCTTCTGCCTCTCACGGCCACCACTGGCTCGTTGGCCACCCGCACGCGCAGCTCCAGCGGCAGAGAGCCGGGGAAGATCTTGGCGAGCTGTACGGGGTAGGGGGAGGTCAGGGCAAGGGGGTCTTTGCGTGGCCAGGGCAGGTGGTGGGGTTGGAGATCAGTGCACACGAAGGAGGCGGCTGACCTGGGGGATGAGCGGGAGAAGGGCAGCCGTGGACAGCGAGATGCTATTGGGCACCTGCGGGAACAGCACCAGCAGTGTCGGCGGCCGGGAGGGTTTGTGCAAAGCCCACGCTGGGCTCGGCTGGACCCCACAAAAAAATACAAGCACGTGGCGGCGAGCACCCTTGGGTCACCAAAGAGCAACCAGGACCCCGACCTGGCCCTGGAGAGGGGCGTCGCGACCCACCATCGAGTTGGTGATGCTGAGGTTGAAGGCTCCCTGGCCCTGGGCCGTCTCCAGCAGGATGCCGAGGGCGCGCTGGGAGAGGCTGAGCTGTGGCGGG